GATATCCTTGCAGGCGGTTTGTAAAGTTAGAGTAGATAAAGGTAAGAATGAAGTATTTAGTTAAAGTGGTATTTGTTAGTTGTTCAGCTGATCCTGAGCTGTTTGCAGTTTGTGTGTCGGCCTGCAGGGCAGTGTGGCACAGTCTGCAGGTGAAAGTTTGTTTTTGCGCACAGGTGGAGGATCAGGTGAGGATCAGCAGTCCAGCCTGCGGTCTGTCGCTGTGATCTGTTTTGATCTCAGAGATCTGCTGCTGATCATCAGAGCCCCGATGAGTGAAGGTGACTGGTCTGAGTTCAGCTCTGCTCCAACACAAGGTAAGATGCTCACTGACCTCCAGGAGAGTACACGGTGTGCAAATCTACCACCTGTTGTTGCAGAACCTCCACGAGATGTTTGAAGGACTTGTTGCTGGAGCAGGTGGTTCCTGCTTAAAGCTTCATTTAGCCCAAGACAGAGTATTTTATTTTGAAAGTCATTTGGTGAAACTGTCATCAGTCTCAGCATAAAGTCTGTTTTTTCACTTTTAAAAATAATTCAAGACATTTTTTATAATGAGAACATAAAGTGATGTTTTTAGGCTGTTGCTGAGTAAAAATACTTGTGAATTAGAATAAAACATGTAAAATAAACATGAACATTTTGTGATAAATTGGACAAAAAAAGTCCTAAAAATGTTTGTGTTTCTGATGTAAATGTGATTTTTATTTTTACTTTTCAATATATAATCTGTCGTCCACCAGAATATTTGTGTTTACCCAAACTCAACAGAGTTTGAAGCCACTTGGAGACTAAAGTTTAGAGATAACGGACTCAGCGGAGAGGTGGACAGATGGTCTGAAACTTTAGACCACAGTGCACGAGGAAACATGTCGTCTGCTTCTTTATTCACTTTTTCTGCTTTGGAGGAACCAGAACCAAAAAAGAAGCAGACACTTCTGGTTTTGTACGTCATTTGACTAAATTCTCCAAAAATAGCCCAAATTTTCCCCGTAGCCAAAACAAATCAGTTTAAGTTTGATTTGTGGAGATTTGACCACAGAACGTTTACTCGCACTTAAACCTTCAATCTAACTTACATTTATTTAACATTTTTCAGTCAGGTCATCTGGACACTTTCTTTTTTTCTGAAATGTTTCACCTTCCATCCAGAAGGCTTCATCAGTCAAGGAAACACACAACACAGAACTGATTCTTCCCCAAACAGCTTATTCCAAAGTGGAACAAACCAGTTCTGTTGGTGCTAAGATGGTGTCTTTGGCACGCCCCCTCCTCTGGAGCCAGCCCTCTTCCTCGTCTGCAATCATGTCAAACTGGTTCAAAACCAAAACTGTCCATGCTCAATAATCCAGGTATACAAAGGTATACATAAAACAAAGTAGAAACATAAAATCTTACTTGAAGGAACATTAAGCTCTGATCTTGGTTTAAGACTTAACGCTATAGATTTTGTTCAGCAGACATTTGTTTAAAGTTTTACTGTGTGTGTTGCCCCTCCCTTTTTGCCCCAGAAAAGGAGGCAATCACCATGGTAACCAGTGACATCATCGTATCTGAGCTCAGAATTTTTTCTTTAAAACTGGAAATCAATGCTTTTTATTCGTATCTCCAACAAAAACAGCGCAGAGACGTGACTTTAGTGAAACTTTGTTTTCTCGCGGTTTGTTTGAGGTTTACTTTTTAACTCGTCCTTCTGCTTCATTGGGAGCGCTGTCAGCGAGTGACACGTCACCATGCACCGGCAGCAGCTTCATCATTTTAGTTTGATCTGGATTCTCTTCATCTTATTCTAAAGTTGATACGTCGGCCATTTTGTCAGCTTAGCTCATCACAAAGGAACTATTTTTGCTGAAGCAGGTTTTGTTGGTTCTGTTTCCATGTTGGTTTCTGTGGATCTTCCAGGACCATGAAGGCGTCACAGAGATTTCTGAAGAATCCACGTTTTTGGTTTTTATTCATTTTTGTTTCTGTAATTTTATTCTTCCATCTCTTCAGCCCAGGTGGGTCAGCTGCAGCTTTTTATTGTACAATAACTTTTTTAATGTTTTAATCCTTTGACATAAAGAAGAAGGCTGCAGTGTGCACTCAGTCTCTTTTTATTTTATTTTACAGTTTTAAGACCAATGGAGGTCGACGAGAGGCACCAAAGAGACATCCGTAACTCCACAGGTATTTTTTGTTTGATGCAAAGTTCAAGACGTATCGTGTCTTGTGACGTGAACGACTCTTCTACAGAAGAGTTGTTAAAGCTGAAAGAAGCAGAACACGAGCTAAAATTACCAAGAGGCTAGATAGAAGCTAGATGGTAGCTAGAAGCTAACTGTAGCAACGTAGCAACTAGGAATAGACAAAAATAAACTAAAAGTAGCTGAACACAAGCTAAAAACTAAAGGAAGCAAGGCATCAGCTAAAATGATCAAAATAGCAGTTAGAAGCTAAAGGTTGCAGCAAAAAGTAGCAAAATTTAAAAAATCTAAAAGAAGCAGAACACGAGCTAAAACCAAAGTAGAAAAATGGTGGTTAGTGGCTAAAAGTAGCATCACAAAAATCCAGTCAGTAGCCGAAGCAAAATTTAAACAGACAGAATTGAAGAAATCTTTTTTATTTCTATTTTATTTTTCCTCCGTGGGGGGTTCCCCTGAAAACCTCCACCCTCTGAAGGTTTCTGAGTCCAGGTCTCAGAGGACGAGGTCTGTAAATGAACGGTTCACGTCGTGTCCACGGGGCCTTGATCCGGAGCGGCTCCTCCTCACGTCACTTTCTGCTTTTCCTCCTCAGAACCGCCGGCGGAGCTCCTGGACCCGGCCGCCCTGGTCCTCACTCCTCTGGTCAACACTTTAATCAACTCGAGTCAGTCCGGTACGTCGGCCCAGGACCTGAAAGTCCTCCAGTCTTTGTCCTGCGGGGTCCAGAGCTGCAGAGACACGTTGGACTTTAGAACAGGTCCTCGTGGAGGTGAAGACGTGCCTGAGGAAGAAAATACCTGAGGGACCGATACAGTTCAGATAAATGTACAACAAAGAAGAAGAAGAAACGTCTCATGGATTTGGTGGAAAATAATTTTAAAATAGTTCCACAACAAAAACTTCACGAACCCCGAAACAGAAAAAACGTTCAGTTGATCCGAGTTTGTTTTTTCTTGTTTGGAACTTGGATCCTTCAGTGAGAGAAGAATGCAGCGCGAGGCTGACAGACGGACCGGTGCAGCGTCTGCAGTGTTGTGGACTCTGTGCCGGTCCGTTGTGGTGAAGAGAAGAATGCAGCGC